CATCTTGTGTACTTGTTTCAGATGGACGAGTGTGGATGGGAGAGTTGGAAGGGGTTGACCTCAGCGAACATACAGTGGGGCCTTGACTTATGAGTGTCCCAACTAATGAGTTTTTTGAGATACCAGCTGTCTCTTGACTGATTTTTTGCTTTGAGTTGACAGAGTAATTTGAGTTAACGAGCTCCTTAACAAGCTCGGTCCCGGAACGAATTAAACTCGTAAGTCAAGGCCCCACTGTACCTCAAAACAATGTACTTCCCCTGTGCCGCGTCTCCCGTTGCCCAACAGACCTGACACCCCCACTTCTTCTAATGCCACTTCTTCAAAATAGACTCACCCAGGACGAAAACCGACTTCTGCGCATGGGCCACGAAGTTTCAATCGCACTGCACGTGCACGCCCGCACGTGGTATTTTGTGGAAGAGCCACACTCAACGGGCCAACGAGCCACATGTGGCTCGTGAGCCGCAGTTTGCTGACCACTGTCTTAGGCAACCCCTGAGAAAGGGTCGTTCGACGCCCCCCAAAGGGGTCGCGACCCACAGGTTGAGAACTGCTGCCTTCGAGCTAAAGAACATGCCTTTCTAACTAAAAATTTCAGGAGATAAATTGATCTCAGTTGAGATCTCATTTGGTGTCTTAAAAGACATAATGCAAAAAATACCAAATTACAACAAATATATGCAAACAGGAATTCCAGAAGAAAAGTAATAGATAAGGAGACCATAAATACATAGAAAAAACTTCCCTTAAATTAAAAAAGACTGAGTCTAGTAAAGGGCTTACCAAACTCTTATTGGAATGATGACAGAGGAGTCACAACTCAATATAGCCTGGTACAATTTCTGAACCTTAAAGATGAAGTGAAAACCTAACGTGTTAACGCTAACATGATCCCTCCACCCCCACAAATTAACTAATAACAATAATCATCACCATACTGACACTGGACCCCTACTAAGTTATATTACTACTGCTCAAAGTATTGTCTGTAGACCCGTGGTAGCATACAGATTGTGACACTGGTCTATAGCAATACAAAAACTGGAAATTGCCCTAACCGGTTTGGCTCAGTGGACAGAGCATCGGCCTGCGGACTGAAAGGTCCCAGGTTCGATTCCGGTCAGGGGCATGTACCTTGGTTGCAGGCACATCCCCAGTTTGGGGTGTGCAGGAAGCAGCTGATCGATGTTTCTAACTCTCTATCCCTCTCCCTTCCTCTGTAAAAAAATCAGTAAAATATATTTTAAAAAAAACAAACTGGAAATAAGCATTTACAAACTTTTAAGCAATTTGGCATATCAACATAGTAGAGGCCCGTGCACCCATGGGGTCCCTTGGCCTGGTGCACGATTGGGGCCAGGGAAGGACCAGAGGAGGGCTGAATGGCGTGTCCGATCTGTCTTGCTCAGTCACAATCATCTGGACCCCAGCAGCAAGGTAATCTACCGGACAGAGTGCCTGCCCCCTGGTGGTCAGTGCACGTCATAGCAATTGGTCGACCAGTCGACTGTCTGCCCCCTGGTGGTCAGTGCACATCATAGTGAGTGGCTTTAGCATCTCATTAGCATATTATGCTTTGATTGGTTGAACGACCGACCGGACACTTAGCATATTAGGCTTTTATTATATAGAAAGGATGTCTGCTGAACTTAATAAAATATTAGTTTGTATTTTGTGTGTCTTCATTTTGTCTTTCATATAATTTTCCTAGTAATTCATTTTTATTGTATTCTTCAAAAATATCCACAAACGTTGGGGGGAGGTAGAAAGCCTTTTACCACAGAGAGTCAGAGAAGCACTAAGCTAAAGGACAGTAGAGTAGCACAGTTCTGGAATAGGAGTGGGGGGTACACTCTAGGACATAGTTGGCAATGTCTAAAGACATTTTTGGCTGTCCCTAGAAGGGTGAGTGTCACTGGCTTCTAGTGGGTAAAGGCCAGGGATGCTGCCGAACATCCCATAAGAATAATGGACTTCCCACAACAAAGACTTATCTGGTCCAAAATGTCAATAGTGCCGAGGTTGAGAAGCCCTGGAAGAGCACATAAAAATTACCAAAAGAAATTATACAATCAACAAAATACCCTTCACCTGCCAGGGTGAAAGCAAACTATATGAAGGAATTAAAGAATCCATCATATACCATTCTTATATCCCATGAGCGAAAAATACTTGGGAAAAGACTTCAAGCAAACAAATGACCTTAAGCTGCTACATATTTCGAATCCCATTTTACACACACAGAAACCGAGGTTTAGAGGCAAGTACCTGGTCTAAGATTACACAGTAGATTCTTACTGGACACAAGCATATTTTAAAAATTGTGCAATTCGCCCTAACTGGTTTGGCTCAGTGGATAGAGCGTCAGTTTGTGGACTGAAAGGTCCCAGGTATGATTCCGGTCAAGGGCATGTATCTTGGTTGCGGGCACATCCTCAGTAGGGGGTGTGCAGGAGGCAGCTGATCGATGTTTCTCTCTCATCGATGTTTCTAACTCTCTATCCTTCTCCCTTTCTCTCTGTAAAAAATCAATAAAATATATTAAAAAAATAAAAATTGTGCAATTACATATATATTCCTTTCTGGCAGCTTATTCATGTTTAACACTCAGCAATAAGGTTATCTAATGTTTGTTCAGCCCTAGATATTTCGAAAAGTAGTCCCATATACATTTTCTCCTTGCACCCGTGGGGCACTCCTGTTAAACATTACAAGGTGTTCTTATCTCTGCTTTACAGGTAATAAAACTATGTCTAAGAAGGCTATTAAATTGCTCATATTCCCACAGTTAATTTGCTCTGACTGCAAAAATCATGCTATTCCTACTGCAACATGAGTAAAATCTATTTTTTTAATTATATTTTTTATTAATTTATTTACAGAGAGGAAGGGAGAGGGATAGTTAGAAACATCGATGAGAGAGAAATATCGATCAGCTGTCTCCTGCACACCACCTCCTGGGGATGTGCCTGCAACCAAGGTACATGCCCTTGACAGGAATCAAACCTGGGACCCTTCAGTCCGCAGGCCGACGCTCTATCCACTGAGCCAAACCGGTCAGGGCTAAAATCCATTTTTTTTCTTCGATTCCTGAGTACTGATGATTCCGAAATCACGTCTCTAAGCTTGTTTGTTTTTTTTTTTTTAAATATATTTTTTATTGATTAAGATATTACATATGTGTCTAAGTTTGTTTTTCCCTGAACTCCGTACATTCAACAGCTCACGTCCCTTCATAAGTCCTTTAGGGCCCTCAAATTCATCTTGTCCAAAAAAAATGGAACACATAATCTCATCTGTGTTTAAACACACAGTGAGTGTGGACTGTCCCCCGGCCCGCGGGAGGCACAAGCTATTATACAAGCAGGTGTAAAATATCAGCCGTGATGTTTTCTACTGGAGTGCCAGGAGGGGCCGCGGGAGGCTGTGACACCGTCAGGAAAAGACTGGGGGGCGGGGGGGGGGGGGCAGCAGGAAAGGGACCAGCACGTGCAGAAGGAGCAAGGCTCTCCTGTTGACAGGGATGCCGACCAGCCAGCCGGAGGGCAGTCCTTCCGCTGCCTCTTCAAGCATATATATCCTTTACTGATCGATACTTTTTCTTTTTTATCTGTTGATTGCAGAGGGATAACGGGAGAGGGAGAAACATCGCCTTTGTTGTTCCACCCATTTGCGCATGCATTGGGTGACTCCTGCATGTGCCTTGACCTTCAACCCTGGTGTGTGGGGAAGACGCTCTGACCAACCGGGCTGCCCGGCCAGGGCCCCTCGAAGCTGATTCTCAAAGTCAACTCGCAATCCGCCCGTCGGGACCGCCTCTTGCTTCCGGGAAACCTCGCGGTGATCGCGCGCGCACTCTGGCCTGTCCCCGGGTTCAAGCACCAGCCCCCGCCTCCCCCGCCCCCATCCCGGCAGCGTCCTGTCCTCGGTGGCTGAGGTGTCGGACTGTGCAGGAAGAGTGTAAACACGGCCGCCTAACACAGTTTTAGCACCACTTATACTTCTAGGAGGGCTGCAAAGCTTTAACATGCGTATCACCCTAAACAGTTCAGAACAACCTCCCGCGAGCCCAGCTAGGGCAGGCCTGGCCGAAGACCTGCCCCGCGAGCATGACCTTGGGCTGCCCCAGCCGGGAACCCCTCGCGGCCCTGCAGCCCGCACCACCCCGGCCTGGCCTCGGAGCGGGCATTATCATCCAGGCGATCCATGGAGCCCACTTGGCAAACTCCAAGGCCGAAAGGCTCTGGCGTCTGTATGACCTCGGGGCCGGCCGTGAAGGTCCCCGGGCCCCTAAAGCTGCTCTCTCATGCAGGGCAAAGGCAACAGGCAGCCCAGTCCCCGGAGAAAAACTCAGCATCGGAGTCCCAAGAGGCCCAGCCAGGCCAGCTACCCTCCCAGTCACCTTGTACTCAGTCCCGAGCTGCCAGAGCCGCCGCCGCCGCCGCCACCGTCCTACTTCCGGCCGTGGCTCCGCCCCCTCCCGCCGACACGCTATCGCAGTGCATTGTGGGCTGCCGTTTCAGTCGGTCGGCACTCACCGGACAGGAAGCGTCTCAGAGACAGTCTGCGACCGGACGGCTCTAGGTGAGGCAGAAGGCAAACGGGAGGAAGTGGAGGGTAAGTGCTTCCGGGTCCCCTAGCGGCTCTTCCGCCATCTTTCCTCCTCCTAACTTGATCTGCTCCCTCTTTCCCTTCTGGAAACCTTCCTATGTACGCATGCGCACTTGGTCCGGCCTGTCCCTGAGTTCAGTCCTTCCCGCCCCGAATCAGCCAGCAGTCCTGCTCCTTGGGTTGTTGAAGTGTATGAACGTCCCGACAAAGTGCCAGTGTAATAACACAAAGCGGGCGGGGGCGTTGTGCTCCTTTGTGCCTCGTGAGCCTCCGTTGCCTCGGGGCGTTCGTTTCGCGCCACCTGCTGGGACTTGTAGTCCCGAGCCCGGGGGTGCCTGGGAGGCGGGAGGGGGATTGGAGTTTCTCAGCGCCGATTCCGCGGGAAGGGCCCAGGGGCCTCACACTTGGAGTCGCGGGAGCTGCAGGTTTTGCCGGGAGAGACGCCGCACGTGGAGCGCGCGCCGCCGCTGTTCTCCGCCGGCTGTGGAGCGCGGGCGGGGGCGACCCGGTTGGTTCCGGAGCGGGTGAGTGCGGCCGCGGGAGAGGAGGGGAGCACGGGCCCCCGCGGGCCGGCTTCGTTCCGGGGCCTGCTCCCCCAGAGCGGCCCCCCCGCGGCCGCCTCTGTGTTTTGTTTCCGCTGGTCCCCGGCGCTGTGACTCCCATTTCCGTTCGTGGAGACTTGAGGGAGCCGGGTGGGGAGGGGCGGGGAGCTGTGCGGGGAGCGGAGGGAGGGGCGGGGGGCGCGCGGCGCCGGGCGGGGGAGCCGCGCGCCCCGGGCCCTGGCGGTCCGGGTCCCCGGCTTCGCGCTCCGCCGCCGCTCGCTCGGCTCGTCCGCCGCCCGGCGTGGCGGTCCGCAATCTCCGCGATCGGAACGGGATCCTGGCTCCCGGGGTTTCACAGGAAGAAGCGAAACGAGTCTGGCCGCCTCGGCGATGGGCTCTCCCTCCCAGTCCCGTTGTCTTGCTCGAACTGTCCCGTCGTGGCATCCGAGCCCCTTGTTCACGCTCATGTTGTCCGTGGGGCCTCTGGGAGGAAGTGGCAGGGAGACGCGGGGAGACGCTGGGTCCGTGTAGTTTGCCAACTTTGGGAGTGCCGTGTGGGAGCCTCGCCCGCCTGTAGTGGGGCCCGGGTTTACGGGGTGACGGCGGGAAGGCCGTGCATGGCCGGGGGTGAGGGTCCGTCACCGGCAGCCCGCCCGCGGGAGGAGCAGGGATGGGGAACTCCCTCGCGCAGAGCGAGGAGCCGGGCAGTGCTGGTCCTGCCAGCGCCGTGTGGTCCGAAACTTCAGAAGCAACGGATCCGCTCCTCCCGAACCGCTGTACGGGATCGGCCCCTGCCTCGGGGTGTGGTCCGGGCGTTGCGGCCAGATTGGTGTTCGGACGAGGCGGGCTGAGGTCGGTCCGCCTGGGCCGCAGGGTGGACAGGACTGCGTGTCCGGAGGGCAGATGGTCTTGAAGGAGGAGGGTAGATACCGAACTGGATGCTAAATCGAGGCTGTTTATAAGAGGATGTGGCGGCTGAATACGAAATTAAACCTCTTTCATTTTTCTCCAGTTTCGTTTAGAAAATTTCAGATCTACGGGAAACTTGAAAAATTATACAATGAAATTACACAGTGAACGCCTTCACCTGGTGGGGGGAAGTCAGCAAGCCTTAGTCAGCTTTCCCTCGCTCTGCAAACACACACACACAAATACACGTTTTACTTTTTTCCCTAACTTTTAATTTTATTTTTAAAACATATATATATATTTTAATATATTTTATTGATTTTTTACAGAGAGGAAGGGAGAGAGATAGAGAGTTAGAAACATCAATGGGAGAGAAACATCGATCAGCTGCCTCCTGCACATCTCCTACTGGGGATATGCCTGCAACCCGGGTACATGCCCTTGACCGGAATCGAACCTGGGACCCTTCAGTCCGCAGGCCGACGCTCTATCCACTGAGCCAAGCCGGTTTCGGCTAAAATATATATTTTTTATTGATTTTGGAGAAGGGAAGGGAGACGGGGAGAGGGAGAAACATCACCCTTGGACAAGCTCTTGCCTCCAGTCCCACCGTGGAGCTCGAGCGGAAACGCTGGCGGGGGCTCTGCCGGGGATGGAGCCTGTGGCCTCCTGTTGCATGGGCTACAACGAGCCACACTGGCCGGGCTGTTGACTTTATTTTTAAAAACAAAAACTTTTTATTCGGGTATTTAACAATATTTTTTAGTTTGAGAAAATGTTCAGTTAATCAGGTAGGTACTCTTAGATTACATTTATATATGTTAAATGCACATTTTGTGTATTTTTAATACATGTTGTATGTTAAATATAGGTAAATATTACATATAAGTATTGCCCTTACTGGGAAAAGTTGTCCCAAACTAATAATGTTTTCCAGTGAAGAAGACTAATTCTCAAGTTTTGCTTTTTTAATATATTTTAATTGATTTCAGAGAGGAAGGGAGAGGGAGAGAAAGATTGAAACATCAGTGATGAGAGAGAATCCTTGATCGGCTGCCTCCTGCAACGCCCCACACTGGGGATCGAGCCTGCAACCTGGCATGTGCCCTTGATGGAATCGAGCCGGGACCCTTCAGTCCGCAGGCCGATGCTCTATCCACTGAGCCAAACCGGCCAGGCTAATTCTCAAGTTTATCTGTAGCTGCAAGGGAGAATATTAAATGTAACTGTATTTAAAGAATACTAGCCTTTTCTGGACTTTTTAGTTTATTTCCATTTTGTGAAGGGTTCTGAACCCCAGGTGAGATTTAATCTGGGTGAAACCAGGGCAGCCCTTTGGTGGAAAGGCTCCAAGTGATGTTCTCTTCTCCACTGTAAGTTTTGTAAAAGAATCCTGGTTCCAGAAAAAGAGCTAAGACCCACTCAAGTAGTGACATCAGCATTTTGGACCATTTCCCAATCTCTTACTGTCAAGGCTAAATTTAGAGACCTGAGAAAGAGAAAAGGATCAATTTAGAGACTGGGCATTTTTTTCTAGAGTATATGGGTTTTTTTTTGGGGGGGGGGCACCTTCTAGGGACTGATCTCTAACTTTTTTGGAAGATCACAGGATAAATTTCTTTTTAACAAGTCCCTGTTTTAGTGCTTATATTATGGGGAACACAGGTAACCCTGCTGATAAGCCCTAATTTAGGGCCATTTCTCGGCCTCTGGTTACTTTTTCATATACTTTTTTATTTTTCCCAAAGTTCTGGGAAAATTCAATTGTTTCCTAACCTTTTAAAAAATAAAATTGGTTGTGGAGAGAGGAGTGGACCTCTTTATAGGCCCTGAAAATAAAACAAAAATATCTTTTAAAAGTTCTGTTCTGCTATCAACCTTACTATTTCTCACTTTTTCCGTACACAACACTTTTTATAATTTTTTTTTCTTTTTTTGGTAAGAGAACATTTATTGGGTATATTACAGAGATAGAAACTGTAATTCCCAGAAGTAATGGGCTTAGGAAACAAGTTACAGAAGTGAAGGAAGGGCCCCAGGAGCTTGGGAATGAGGAAGTTAATGGTAACCTGCCCAGGGCCAAGAGGGGGAGGGGAAAGGCAAGGCAAGGCAAGGCAGGGGCTCCCTAGGGAGAGGGCCCACTCTGATTCTGTGCGTGTACATTATTTCCTTGTTTTTAACTGCTACTGAAGTTTCATGGTGTCTGCTTCTTTCACATTTTCTTATATCTCAGTACTTTCTTACCATGGATACTGGTTTGTTTTTTTTAATATATGCTTATTGATTTCATCGAGGAAGGGAGAGAGAGAGACAGAAACATCAATGATGAGAGAGAATCACCCATTGGCTGCCTCCCGCATGCCCCACACTGGGGACGGAGCCCACAACCCAGGCATGTGCCCTTGACCGGAATCGAACCCTGGACCCTTCAGTCCGTAGCTTTATCCACGGAGCCAAACCGGCTAAGGCACCATGGATACTTTTATTGGCTCCAGCTTCCAGCTATCCCCAACAAAGCTACTCTGAACGTCCTTATCAATCAGTATCTCTGGAATGCTTATCTAAGGGCAAGTGCTGGGCCACAGGTATTAGCGTACTTGCTTTGAGTAAGTGCTGCTAGAATCTAGATTTTTCTCCAGAATAGCTGGACCTGTCTGTACTTCAACAGAAGCAGAGGATTCTTATGGCTCCACATCCCTGCTTATCCTTTTCAGTATTCAACACTACATTTTTCACACACACACACTCAAGGTATAAAGTTTTTGTTTTAAGTTGCATTTTTGAATGATTTGAGTTTGAACATTTCTTTATATCCTTAACCATTTTGGTTTTCTCTCTTACTTCCCTTTTCCTATACTTTACCTGCTTTTCTAATTTGTCCTGACTTTTGGGGGATTGTTACCAATTTGCAGGAATTTGCTGTCTATTCCAGTTATTCCCTTGTCACCTTTGGATATCGAAAATATCTTTTCTTAGTCGTTATCCTGTCTATTGAACATAAATCTTAATTTTTATATAATCAAATACATTAGTTTTTTTCTTATGGTTTAATTTTTGGAATGTTAACAAATTATTTTTTATTCTTAAACCATAAAAAATCCCCACTATTTTCTTCTATTAGCTTTATAGTTGTGTCTTTCACATTTAAGCCTTTAGGGCAGTGGTTCTCAACCTTCCTAATGCCATGACCCTTTAATACAGTTCCTCATGTTGTGGTGACCCCCAATTTCATTGTTACAAATTGAACATAATTAAAGCCTAGTGATTAACACAAAAATAATATGTAATTATATATGTGTTTTCCGATGGTCTTAGGCAACCCCTGTGAAAGAGTCGTTTGACTGCCAAAGGGGTCGCGACCCACAGGTTGAGAACCGCTGCTTTAGGGGACCTGGAGTCAATTTTATATGGGGGACTAGAGGCCCAGTGCATGAATTCGTGCACCGGTGTGGTCCCTTGGCCTGGTCTGCGGGATCGGCCGAAACCAGCTCTCTGACATCCCCCAAAGGGTCCCAGATTGCAAGAGGGCGGAGGCCAGGCCAAGGGACCCCACTGGTGCATGATTGGGGCCAGGGAGAGACATGGGAGGTTGGCCAGCTGGGGATGGACTGCGGGAGGGCTCCAGGGCATGTCCGGCCAGTCTCACTCGGTCTAATCGGCTGGACCCCAACAGCAAGCTAACCTGCTGGTTGGAGTGTCTGCCCCCTGGTGGTCAGTGCATGTCATAGCAACTAGTCGACCAGTCGACTGTCTGCCCCCTGGTGGTCAGTGCACATCAGCGAGCGGTTGAACGGCCTTAGCATATCATTAGCATATCATAACGACCAGTCGACTGGACACTTAGCATATTAGGCATTTATTATATAGGATGATAGTTTCTAAAACATTTTTTTTAATAGAGTGCCTACTAAGAGTGAAGTACTGTTCAAAGTATTTTGTATACATCTGTAAACATACTAATATCCCTTCAAACCAGGTGGAGGTTATGTTGTCCTACCGGGTCACCACCTGTTTTGATCTAGTGCGCAAGATAAATAACATAATTTTACAAATAGTGTGTTAAGGAATAGACTTTATTAGGGAAAGGGAAGTTCTGCTAAGCTAGGGTCAGAACAAAAGAAAGCAAAAGTTGGCTAGAGCCTAGGCCAGTGATGGCAAACCTATGACACGCGTGTCAGAGGTGACACGCAAACTCATTTTTTTGGTTGATTTTTCTTTGTTAAATGGCATTTAAATATATAAAATAAATATCAAAAATATAAGTCTTTGTTTTACTATGGTTGCAAATATCAAAAAATTTCTATATGTGACACGGCACCAGAGTTAAGTTAGGGTTTTTCAAAATGTTGACATGCCGAGCTCAAAAGGTTCGCCATCACTGGCCTAGGCAGTCTGCTAGAGGTGCATTCATTATATGTATTTATTCTGCTGGAGAACCTCAGCCTCTTACTGGTCTTCCTATAAGAGGATGTGGGAGCAACCTTAATAATGTGGGGAAAATAAGACCGTTTTTATACCAGGCATTCTCGATTTGGGTGCCAGCTAATTATAGGCCTGAGGAGAGGTATAGCCCTTTCTGAAGTGGAAAAGAAGACTTTTCTAGTCCTACAGTAATGTAGTAGTTCAATATAATACAGTATACATATTGGTAACTATTTTGTTACTTGATTTTGCTGTTTTAGAATATTATACTGGCACAAGATATGTAATTTGTAACAAATCATAGCTAGGATTAACTTTAATTTTATATCACTCTATCAGTACAATGCTAATAAAGTACATTCTTCATCCTGCTAATACAGTACAGCTTTTAGGTAAACACTAATGGTTCATCTCTATGTTGATTTTTTTTTATTTTTTTTTAAAAAAATATATATTTTATTGATTTTTTACAGAGAGGAAGGGAGAGGGATAGAGAGTTAGAAACATCGATGAGAGAGAAATATCGAATGGCTGCATCCTGCACACCCCCTACTGGGAATGTGCCCGCAACCAAGGTACATGCCCTTGACCGGAATTGAACCTGGGACCCTTTAGTCCGCAGGCCAACGCTCTATCCACTGAGCCAAACCTGTCAGGGCTCTATGTTGATTTTTAAGCTGCAGGTTTGAAACTGTTATTGAGACTGTTGTTGCTATTATATAGTTGACATACCTTTCATTTGATTTTGAAGTAACTTGAGTTAATTTATTGACTGAGATTGGGCTGAACAAATCCCAATAAATCCAACAGAACGATGAAGAATTCATGTCAGGCTAATAAACACCATGTAAACCAAAACTAGTTTATCAGTATCGTGGATTTTCTTTTATGTGTGAAGATTACTTCCTCTTGTTGTACTTACTCTCTGCTTTTATTTGAATTGGGTCTCTACTTCTTGTGCAGCATTTCTATTTGTGCAGATAATTTTAAAATGTCTTAAAATTTAACTCTTACAGGGCTGAGCTTTTGAAGTACTTCAACCATGACAAAAAGAGAAGCAGAGGAGCTGATAGAAATTGAAATTGATGGAACAGAGAAAACAGAATGCACAGAAGAAAGGTTGGTATTATCTGAATTCATATATTACCCACATGCATTAAAATTAAGAATCAAGCCAGAGTTCTTTTGGGGCCTTTTTTTTTCCAGCTGACATTAGCATTTTGGGGGATAATGTATTGCTTTTTCCTCTGACTTAAAGAACTTGTAGCTGGGAGGGAAAGATAGTTTTAAAAGATACTAATATGCCCTAGCCGGTTTGGCTCAGTGGATAGAGCATTGGCCTACGGACTGAAGGGTCCTGGTTTTGTTTTGGGTCAAGGGCACATGCCTGGGTTGTGGGCTCAATCCCAGTAGGGGGCGTGCAGGAGGTAGCCGATCAATGATTCTCATCATCGATGTTTCTATCTCTCCCTTCTTCTTCAAAATCAATAAAAATATATATTTTTTAAAAAGATAGTAATATGCATAGCTAGTAATCAAGCAATTGATTGTGATGGTTTTTATCCCTCAGGGCACTGTTTGATTATTTTTTCTTTCATTTGTGCTGGTTATTTTGATTTCCTATAGAGTTTAATTCCCAATCTGAACTAATGCAACAAATATCTAAACGTAACTACTGTGAACTGTCAGGAGTATATATGAGACAGTAACCTGCCCTTGTAGAGGCCACATTGTGTTTGAGAAGGTATACAGGTTTATGAGTAATTATGTGCGCAGTACTAAGCATATAGAGCAGTGAAGGGTGTTAGTTCTTGGGATAGTAATAGAATATTACTCTATTAAGGAAGAAGGGCAGTGGTTGTAACTTCAGAATCCAAAGGGAGAATATGGGTAAAAATAGAGATTTGGGAGTTAAGAAGAAGGCTAGAGTTAGGGCTAATGGTCCTGCTTTATTCTGTAAAGCAGGAGATGAGATAATACACTGAAAGTAAAAAGGACTAAAGAGTAGTAGAGAACTTCTTTATAGTAAAAGTTTAGAATAACTGCAGTGAGAATGGACCAAATAAGAGTGAATAGGATGTTGAGTGTTTAGAGTACAGCTAAGATTTTAGACCTTAGGTTTTAAATAAAATTGTTTTATTGTGGTAAAAACGCTTAACATGAGATCTACCCTCAACAAATTTTCAATGTACAATACTGTGTATTTAACTATAAGAACCATGTTCTACACAGATCTCTCGAACTTATTCATCTGGCATAATTGAGATTTATACTAGTTGTTTAGCAACTCTCCATATTTTCTGCCAGCTGGCTGTGGTCACTCATACCACCTCCTCGTCTCAGAGGAGAGGTCTGGCTCTAGCTCTTAGGAAAACCCCACGTTAGCTGTCCTCGGTCATATCCTTTGCCACCATACCCTGGCACAGGAACGTTTTCCTGACAGAAAAGGTCATGACTGCCCAAGAGGCCTTAATTTGTTGATAGAGAATTTTAACATGTTTCACTATGCTATTTTCTCTAACAGAAGAAACAGTAGAGACTACATGTCTCTTTTATTCAACAAATTACCTCAGAACTTAGTTCTGGCTTCAGGGTATTTCATGTGTTTGCAGTTAAGCTGTCAGTCTGGCTATAGTCATCTGAAGAATTGACTGGGGCTAGCATATCTGTTTACAGGATCACTCATGAGATTGGTGACATGACTGTTCACTTCCTGACCGCAAGGCCTTCTCTGTAGGGCTGCTCATGATGTGGCAGATGGCCTGAGAGAGCATGCTCACCAGATGGGGAGCTGCAGTGTTGTTTTACATAGCCTAATTTAAGAAGCACTATATCACTTCGGACTTAGTCTTAAAGACTACCACTATGAATGGTGTCTATGCAGACATGAGTTTCAAAGACCAGAAATGTGTTTTGATATTCAGTTTTGGTTTGAGTGTATTGTTACTTTAATTTTCAGGGTAAAAATGTAATTTTTAACCATTAAATTATTTAGCATTGTAGAACAGACCTACACCGGTGAATGTTTAAGCCAGGCCATAGACATCAATGAGCCAATAGGCAATTTAAAGAAACTACTAGAACCAAGACTACAGTGTTCTTTGGATGCTCATGAAATTTGTCTACAAGAAATCCAGGTAATCTTTTTATTAAATTTATATCTTAGTATTTAAGTGCATATCTGAAAGTCAGAATTACTTTTTGTCATCAATTTGTCATTGTGTGAAATGCATTCACTATGAGGTGATATGAGGGAAAAAAGCACTCATACTTAAAGGATAAAGAATTATGAGTAAAGGTATTCATATCTAGGTCAGGTAGTAAAGTCATAAGTTCCTTAATAAATTTTGTAATCAGAGATTTAGCATTAACCCTGACCTTAAATGTGTATAATTGGTTACAAGAGAGATAACAGCAAGTATATATAATAAAACCCTAATAAGCAAATTGACCAAACCACAGAACAGCCGGCAGGAACAACCAGTTGCTATGACTTGCACTGACCGCCAGGGGCAGACGCTCAACTCAGGAGCTGCCCCCAACTGAGGGAGCCGACCGGCAGCAGCGATCCGGTCCGGGGGCGGGCCGGCCAGTGGGTGGTGCCAGGACGCCAGCCAAGGCGGGTGTCAGCAGGGCCCCCAATTGCCCCACAGATGGCCTTGATCTCTGGCCAGACCTAGGGACCCTACCCTATATATTGTGAATAGTCTCTTAGATTTAAAAATTAAAACCTGGCAAGACTACTCTAACACTGAAAAAGCAGGATGATGCAGCGATGACATGCATGGACTCTGGCTGGCACATTTTGTGGTCAGCCCTGATTCTGACACTTATAACTGTGTGACAAAGCCAATTACTTAACTTCTCTCTGCTTCAGTTTTTCCACACATAACATGGGGAAAATGGTACTACTGCCTCAGAAGGATCATGTTATGTACTACTTTTTATAATCAGGGCAAAAAAAATGTAGTTGCCCATACAACAGCAAAATGCCTTTCACCTGTGTGAAAAGTATGGTCACTGGTGCATGCAGTTTCCTGGATTGCAAGAGGGATGTCCGACTGCCGGTTTTGGCCTGATATCCCCTGAGGGGTGCCAGATTGTGAGAGGACGCAGGCCAGGCTGAGGGACTAAATCCCCCTCCCCCATGCATGAATTTCGTGCACCAGGCCTCTAGTTATATAAATAAATTTATTTAAATTGTCCCCACTAAATAAATATTCTTGCTTTTTAATGACAGATAAATTACATTGTTTTCTACTTTAAATACTTTTACGGAATAAACAGTTGCTTTTGGGCATTATTTAAAATCCTAAACTAGACTCTAGAGCTAGAGAAAACTGTAATTTAAAATAAATTCTGTTCTTTATGTTGTCCTTAATTACTAACACAGTGGTTAAAATATTTTAAATTTTGGCAAAGAATTACATGTGTTCTTATAATTTAATTAGTATACTTTAGTGATTAAGTATAGTTTGATATATCCATTTTTATTAAACCAGATGATTATGTGAAAATAATCTTAGTCCTTTTACCCATATTTAGCTGGATCCAGAACGAAGTTTATTTGACCAAGGAGTAAAGACAGATGGAACTGTACAACTTAGTGTACAGGTAATTGCTTACCAAGGTAAGTTAATTTTTGTGTAGTTATTTAAAACTGCACTCATGTTTTTCTAATATGAGAATTCAATTTTATAAGTTTTGGGTGTTTTAGATGGTTGTCTAAATTACTTAATGTGATATAACCAAATATTAAGGCTTTTGAATTAATTATTTTATCTGTCAAGGTTAAGCAGATAGTATCACACATTTTACCTGGTTTAATCAGCAAGTTAGGGTAGTAAATCACAGGATCACAGAGAGGGCTGGAAGAACAGGTTCTAGTTGGCTTTCTAAGATGACTCGGCCACATTGCAGTGTGGGACTGACAATTGCCCTGCCTACCATAAGCTAGAACCATGCTTCCTTTTCAGTGCTCCACAGGAGCCAAAAAATGGATGCCATGTGCCTGCTTATCCCCTCTTAACTCATTTCTCAATAGAAGGCTCATGCCAGTGGTTCTAGAGCAGCCGTGGGCAAACTACGGCCCGTGGGCCGGATCCGGCCCGTTTGAAATGAATAAACTAAAAAAAAAAAAAAAGACCGTACCCTTTTATGTAATGATGTTTACTTTGAATTTATATTAGTTCACACAAACACTCCATCCATGCTTTTGTTCCGGCCCTCCGGTCCAGTTTAAGAACCCATTGTGGCCCTCGAGTCAAAAAGTTTGCCCACCTCTGTTCGAGAGCCTAAGTCACATTGGGTACCCTTGCTGCAAGGTGATCTAGACTCTGCAGTTTAGCACAAAAAGAGAAATTATGCAAAGGAAGTTGCTTTATTCTCTTCCTCACCCCCACATTTTTTTTTAACCTATTTACTAATAAGTTGCAGGCATGTTTCCCTTCTATTCCTAAATATATGCATTTTCTAAAAATAAGGAATTCTTTTACATGACCACAGTACAATGCTCAAAATCAGGATATATGAATTGACACAACACTGTTACATAATACTAGAGGCCCGGTGCATGAATTTGTGCACTGGTGGGGTCGCTCAGCTTGGCCTGTGGGATCAGACAGAAACCAGCTTTCCTACATCCCTTGAAGGGTCCCAGATGGTGAGAGGGCGCAGGCCAGGCCGAGGGACCCCACTGGTGCACAACAGGGACTGGGAGGGACACGGGAGGGCTCCAGGGCATGTCTGGCCCGTCTTGCTTAGTCCCAATTGGCTGGACCCCAGCAGCAATCCTACTGGTCGGAGCGTCTGCTCCCTGCTGGTCAGTGATGTCATAGCGACTGGTCAACCAGTCAATTGTCTGTCCCTGGTGGTCAGTGCATGTCATAACGAGTGGTTGAGTGGCCTTAGCATATTATCAGCATATTATGCTTTGATTGGTTGAACAGACAACCAGACACTTAAAATATTAAGCACTTTAGGAGTAGAGGCCCGGTTCATGCATGGGTAGGGCCCCTAGGCCTGGCCAGAGATCAGGGCCAATCAGGTTCCCCACCTCCCTGTCTCCTCCTTGCCTCCTCCTCTCGCAGCCCATGTGCCACCACTGCGCGGTTCCCCCTGCCTCCCCGCCGCCTCCTTCCCTTGCTCCCTCAGCGCCCTGTCACCACTGCTGGTCATCCGCCATGTTCCGTGCCACCTCCTTGTGGTCAGTGCACATCATAGTGTGTGATCGAACTCCTGTTCTCCTGGTTGAACTCCCGAGGGGACACTTTGCATATTAGCCTTTTATATATATAGATTTCCAAAGTTGTATTGAATTGTTGTTTTTATCATTTAATAGGACTCTGTTAAATTCTCTAGACAGATTGCTAAACATTTAAAATGGAGTTTTGCTCTACCATTTTAGAACATACAACTCAACTAAATTTTGTTAGTGAATTTCATGTTTTCATCTGGATATTTTTTAATTCACTGTTAAAGGAATGGAACCAAAGCTCAACATCCTTGAAATTGTTAAACCTGCGGAAACAGTTGAAGTAGTCATTGATCCAGATGCTCATCATGCTGAAGCAGAAGCACATCTTGTTGAAGAAGCTCAAGTGATAACTCTTGATGGCACAAAACACATCACAACCATTTCAGATGAAACCTCGGAACAAGTGACCAGATGGGCTGCCGCCCTAGAAGGTTACAGGAAAGAGCAAGAGCGCCTTGGGATACCGTACGGTAAGGAAATACACAATCACGTGTTAGGGTGAATAATAAGAATTAAGCTTGTCATAGAAGATACTAGGGTAAGCTATAATTTGTTTTAAATGTAGAATTTTTAGGGAGAATATTGATTTTCTGTATTTCTCCTCTTTTTGGACTATAATACATGATGGACAAATACTGTCCTGGGTGCTAAGAATACAAAGAAATACAATCCGTCTTCACTTAACAATGGGGGTACATTCTTAGAAATGCACCATTAGGCAATTTTGTCATTGTGCAAACACAGAGCGCACATGTACAAGCATACAGGCTATAGCAGTGGTGGTGAACCTTTTGAGCTCGGCGTGTCAGCATTTTGAAAAACCCTAATTTAACTCTGGTGCCGTGTCACATATAGAAATTTTTTGATATTTGCAACCATAGTAAAACAAAGACTTATATTTTTGATATTTATTTTATATATTTAAATGCCATTTAACAAAGAAAAATCAACCAAAAAATGAGTTTGCGTGTCACCTCTGACAGGTGTGTCATAGGTTCGCCATCACTGGGCTATAGCCTGTCACACACGTAGACTGTCTGGAATACTCTATTGCTCCTAGGCTGTAGACCTGTAATGTATCATGTGACTGTACTGAACACCGGTTGCAATTGTAACATAATGGCAAGTGTTTGTGTATGTAAGCATAGTAAAGGTACAGTGAAAATATGGTACAGAAGATAGAAATGATACACATGAGTGGAGTTTGCAGGACTGCAAGTTTCTCGGTGGGAGTCAGTGAATAAGTGGGGAGTGACTGTGAAGGCCTGCGGCAGGGGTGGGCAAACTTTTTGACTCGAGGGCCACAGTGGGTTCTTAAACTGGACCGGAGGGCCGGAACAAAAGCATGGATGGAGTGTTTGTGTGAACTAATACATGTTAACACTGCTGCTGGTGAAGGAGCGGAGGGGAGAGCAAGAGAACCCTCCGCTCTTTCGGCTCCGGATAGAACAGCCAAACGGGCCGGATCCGGCCCGCGGGCCGTAGTTTGCCCACGGCTGGCCTAGGGAGTTACTATACACTATTATAGACGTAATCTCTTTACACGTAATTCACCAAAAAAGCTTATTTCACCAATAAATTAATCTTAGCTTCCTGTATCTTTATTACTTTTAATTTTTTTAAACTTTTCAGCTCTTTTGTAATAGCACGTAGCTTAAAGTACACATTTTACAGCTGAACAAAAATATTTTCTTTAGATCCTTCTATAAGCTTTTTAAATTTTTTATTTTAACTTTTTAAACTTTTTTTGTTAAGAACTAAGACAAACACATGCATTACCCAAGGCCTGCACAGAGTCAGAATCATCATAATCACTGTCTTCTACCTCTACATTTCGTCCATTCTACTGATAGGTCTTCAGGGACAATAAATAACTTCCATGGTGCTGTCATCTCCCATAATAGCAATGCCTTCTTCTGGAGTACATCCGAAGGACCTGCCTGCGGTGTTTATTGAGGAGGTGTCACTCTTTTTAGAAATATATCTATCGTGGTTTGCTTTTTAAAAAAATTTTTATCATAAGTTTATTTCTAAACAGATAATGAACATTCCTCTCTGTTAATGGAAACCTTTCAGTGTTGAGGTTCATGTTTTCAAAGTTTTTAAGGAGCTTGTTAAGGTCTGCAAAAGCTTCTAAACCCTTCACTGTCAGTTTTTTTGGGGTTTCTTTTTCTTCTGCAGTTTCCTTTTCTCTTCTTCTTCAGCTCTGCGTTCCTGTGCCAGACCCAACAACTTCTCATTAGTCAGTTCCTCGGAAACCACCTCCAGGAGCTCTTCAGTGTCCTCCTCTTCCACACCCAGGTTAAGGCCTTTGCCATCTCAACCACAGCTGTTGGCTTTGCAACTTTTGTACCACACAATGTTAGCGTCATTACAGTGTCACTAGGTGATAGGAATTTTTCAGGTACTGTTATAATCTTACTAGAGGCCAGTGCACAAAAATTTGTGCACTCGGGGGAGGGAGGGTCCCTCAGCCCGGCCTGTGCCCTCTCGCAGCCTGGGACCCCCTCGGGAGATAACGCCCTGCTGGCTTAGGCCTGCTCCCGGGTGGCAGAGGGCAGGCCCAATCCCTAGGTGCAGTCCCTGGTCAGGCTCAGAGCAGGGCCGATTGGGGAGTTGGGGCACTGCCCCCTGTCATGCACAGAGCAGGGCGGATCGGGAGGTTGCGATGCCACCCTCAGTCACGCTCAGGGTAGGTCCGATTGGGAGGTTGGGGCACTGCCCCGTCACACTCAAGGCAGGGTCGATGGGGAGGTTGCGGCGCCACCCCCTGTCACGCACAGAGCAGGGCCAATCGGGGTTGGGGCGCTGCCCCCTGTCACTCACAGAGCAGGGGCCCATCAGGGGGTTGGGGCGCTGCACCCTGTCACACACAGAGCCGCAGGGCCATCAGGGGGTTTGGGCGCTGCCCCCTGTCACGCTGATCCTGGTGCCGGGAGGCCTCGCGGCTCCGCTGATCCCGGTGCTGGGAGGCATGTTACCCTTTTACTATATAGGATAGAGGCCTGGTGCACGGGTGGGGGCCGGCTGGTTTGCCCTGAAGGGGGTCCTGGATCAGGGTGGGGGTCCCCACTGGGATGCCTGGCCAGCCTGGATGAGGGGATGATGGCTGTTTGCAGCTGGTCACACACCCTTCAGGGTGGGGGTCCCCACTGGGGTGCCTGGCTAGTCTGGGTGAGGGGCTGAGGGCTGTTTTCAGGTTGGCGGGTGACTGAAGCTCCCAACTGCTCCTTTTGTTCTTTTTTTTTTTATTCTGGGCCAGCTTTAGCTCTGAGGCTTGGCTCCAGCTCTGAGGCTTCGGCTGCTGAAAGCAGGTATCTGGTTTGTTTGGGTTCTATAATTGAAACACTGTTTCAACTCCAGCTCTGAGATCCCCGCTGGCTGAAAGCAGGTTTCTGGGGTTTTGTTTAGCTTCTATATTTGTAACAATGTTTCAGACTGCAAGCTCAGAGGCCGGCAAGGCAGGCGGGGAACATTAGCTTCCTCCGTCACTGAAGCAAGCAAGCCTCCTGTTTGCTTCAAGCTGCCTGGCTGCCGGCCGCCATCTTGGTTGGAAGTTAATTTGCATATCACCCTGATTACCCAATGGGAAGGGTAGCGGAGGTACGGCTAATTACCATGTTTCTCTTTTATTAGATAGGATGGTACACTGTCATAAATGTGGTCCATTGTTGACTGAAGCATCGTTATGCAGCACATGATTGTATATAAAAAAAACGTATACCCTTAGGGTATAAACAGTGTAGTTGCAGTGAGAGAAGGTAGATGAAAAAAGGTAATTTCCATAATGATAATGTGTTTTTAAGCTGTTACATGCTATTAGCATCTCTAACAGGTCATAGTGGGATTTATTCTAGACAAATTATTGGATAGAGAAGGACATTCCTGACAGGAAAAGTATGTGGAAAACTGGGAAGTGGGAATATGCATGAGTAGTGAGGAGATGTAGTGGATAAGAAATTGTTTTGTAGCCTTATAAAACCCCAGTTGAAGTGTGTGTGGGAGGCAACTGATGTTTCTCACTTACATTGATGTTTCCCTTCCTCCCTCCCCCCCCCCCTTCTCTCTCTCTCTCTTGCATTCTTCCTACCTCCCTCCTCCTTTTCCTTCCTTCCTTTCTCTAAAAATCAGTAAAAGCATATTAGGTGAGGATTTAAAAAAATAGATTCTCAAGTATCATTATGTATAGATTTGTTTCTTGGGTCTCTTAAACTTCTCTGAAGAATTGGCCAAAAATCTCTCAGGAATAGAAGGTTGACATGAGGAATTAGGGTTAATGTGGATGTGAATGCTGCATTCTGGAAGTGGAAAGGGACATGGAAGGTAGGGAGGTAGAGAGGGTATCACTCCTCAGTTTTTTTAGATTTTATTTTATTTAAAACTAAAGGCCCAGTGCATGAAATTTGTGCACTGGTAGGGTCCCTAGCAACTGCTGGCCGAGGCCTCCCTCCCTTTCCCCAACTGGCCCCGCCCTTTCTCCCACCCCCTGGTCGAACTCCTGTTGAGGGGACAATTTGCATACTGTGCTTTTATTATATAGGATAGATTTTAATTGATTTCAGAGAGGAAGGGAGAGAGACAGAAATAACGATGAGAGAGAATCATCCATATGCTGCCTCCTACATGCTCTCTACTGGGGATTGGGCCTCCTGGGCATATGCCGTTGACCAGAATCGAACCCAGGACCCTTCAGTCCGTAGGCTGACACTCTATCCACTGAGCCAAATTGGCTAGGACTCACTCCTCAGTTTTTAGACTTTTTTTTACTGAGTTCAGTTTTCTCAGTCTGTGCTTTGTCTCTCTCCCTTGTTTTCACATGTGTGGGGATGCTTCCATTCAGTTGGCTCCTGAGAATGAAGGAGAGGCCCTGCAGGTACTAAACATACCACATACTTTAAATCAGTCTCCACATGTTTCACTTAAACCTCTCCTGCCAATTGGAACCACCATGACCTGAGCCAGTAGGGGTTCTGTAGGCAGGAATACTTACACATAATTGGTATTCTCCTTGATAGATCTTTTAGGTTATAGCTTTTCCTACTTTGCTGGCTTTTCACTCTGCTTATTGTCTTCAAAAAATTTGTGGAAATCTCCCAAATCATTTCTCAGCTATATTCCTTTGAGTTTTCATCTCTTAAAAAGTCCTTTACTGTCATTTATAGGAGTCTTTGAGAAAAGAAGCAAGCATAGCCAATTAGTAATGTCAAACCAGAAGTACTGGTATCCTATATAATAAAAGGGTAGTATGCAAATTGACCGAACGACAGAATGACTGATCTCTATGATACGCATTGACCACCAGGGGACAGACGCTCAATGCAGGAGCTGCCCCCTGGTGATCAGTGTGCTCCCACAGGGGGAGCACCACTCAGCCACAAGCTGGGCTGATGGCTACTGAGTACAGCAGCCCGCCTCTGCAGTAACACTAAGGATGTCCGACTGCAGCTTAGGCCTGCTCTCCACAGTCGGACATCTCCCAAGGGCTCCCAGACTGAAAGGGCAAAGGCTGGGCTGAGGGAATCCCCGCCGTCCCCCTCCCCCCTCGTTGCACGAATTTTGTGCACAAGGCCTCTAGTTATTTCAGAAAACAAATCAGACTATTTGTAACTATTTCTGTTTTCTCCTAACTTTTTAGATCTTGGTACTTTTTTTGTTTCCTTTTATCCAAAATGAGCTTTCATAGACTTTTGTTAATCCTCACCTGAGTATATTTTTCCATTGATTTTTTTTTTTTTTTTAAGAGAGAGTGGGAGGGAGGCGGAGAGACAGAGAGAGATACATCAGTGTGAGAGAGACACATCAATTGGTTGCCTTCTGCACACCCCAACCACGGCTAGGGATTGAACCTGCAACCAAGGTATATGTCCTTGAGTGGAATCAAACCCGGGACCCTTCAGCCCATGGGCCGACACTCTATCCACTGAGCCAAATTAGCTAGGGTGCTCTCTTAAAGAGAAGAATGGTCTAGCATAGTTTTTCTAACCATCTGCACCCCTCCTCTCTTATTTTTAAGCAGTATTCAAATATAGAGCCACTTGTTTCTCAATTCCTGTTTCCTTACTCCACTTTTATTACCTGGTCTTGCTCTTTCCTTTTTCTTGTACTCAGTTTGAATTCCTCTCCCACCCACCAGTTTCTCCTCTTTGTGGTCCACTCTCTCGAAGTGATTGTGGCTCAGTTTGAAAACGTCACAGGTGTTCACTGCTCTAGCCCCTTAAACCTACCACAGACCGTTGTATTCGCTGCTGTTGGACTGCGCACAACTACTCTGAGTTGCTCCTTTCACCCTGGCCTGTTGTGCTTTTAAGGAATACTTCCTGACTGTGTTCAGGTTTTCCGCACTCACAACGGATAATGTGAGATGTCTCTTTGCTTCTCCCTGTGCATTCCCCGGCACAGATGCTGGTACTATGGAGGGCTTGTGGCTATTACTGCTTTGCCTTCACCTTGCATGTATTTTGGGGTCCATGGGATAACTTATCTCCTGGTTTTATTGTAAATATTAATGGATTTTTTGTTTTGCTCTCTAGGTGCTTTTATTTTTATTTATTTATTTTTTAAATATATTTTATTGATTTTTCACAGAGAGGAAGGAAGAGAGATAGAGAGTTAGAAACATTGATGAGAGAGGAACATCAATCAGCTGCCTCCTGCACACCTCCTACTGGGGATGTGCCCGCAACCAAGGTACATGTCCTTGGCCGGAATCGAACCTGGGACCTTTCAGTCTGCAGGCCGACGCTGTACACACTGAGCCAAACCGGTTAGGGCTCTAGATGCTTTTAGTGATTTTTTTTTTTTTTTTAATTCAGAGAAATTTAAAACTGCTGCTATCTTCTCAGAATCCTCCTTCCTTAACTTTTTGTGAAAAATCAAAATAATCAATTCTGTGGTTATTAGTCCTGTATTCTTATATTGATTATGTTCATTTTACTATAAATTGGCTCTTGATAAGTACCTAAATGTTATTTTTATCACTTATTTTCATATTGAATAGCATGCATCTTGATGGCATATAACCACTATCATTTGGATTGATCATCACCATGCATCAATACCTATACCAAAATTAATTCAGCTAGTATTTATTAAACCTCTGGGTAGAATGCTGTTAGGTCCCAGGATACAACAATGAAATATTTATATGTGTTTGCCATTTTTTCATTTGTGAATTTAATCAGTAAAAAGTGATGAGGACATGAAATTACTTGGATTCACCTTTTGTAAATTCAACAAATGTATGCACAAGGCACTGTAAGTTTTGAAGATAGAATGGTTTACATGACACAGTCCTTGTATTTAAGACCTTAATGAATTATAGGTGAAGAAAGCTAAGTAAAGAGGCAGTTAGCATGTTATATGGTAAGTGCCACCATAAGGGAAAATGCAGAGCTGACAGCTTTTTACAAGAAGTGGATGGGAGGAATGAGTACTTGGTTCACATTTTGGATAAGTTAGCTCCTTAGAAACACCTCCCCCCCTCCCCCCTTTTTTTTTAGTGCACCAAATCCTACACTGCTATAGGACAATTTTTTAAACTTGGATATCTTACTCCATAATCACATATATTATTCCAGTTGGCCCACTGGAGAGCAATTTAGCATTTTGTTTTTCTTGATAAAATTTCAGACTAACTGATGTATAACCATGGGAATCCATCAAAAATTTAGATTAAGAAATTGAAAAATAGCTACCAAGAAAATGTAGCATAAAAATCTTTTTATTTTATATATTGTTTATTTACTTACTTGGGAGAAAAAGGCTGTTTGGATTGTGTGTGTGTGTGTGTGTGTGTGTGTGTGTGTGTGTATTGACAAGTTAACTGTAAATGTATATAATATCTAAGATGAAACTAGGCCAGCCGTGGGCAAACTACGGCCCGTTTGAAATGAATAAAACTAAAAAAAAAAAGACCGTACCCTTTTATGTAATGATGTTTACTTTGAATTTATATTAGTTCACACAAACACTCCATCCATGCTTTTGTTCCGGCCCTCCGGTCCAGTTTAAGAACCCATTGTGGCCCTCGAGTCAAAAAGTTTGCCCACCCCTGAACTAGGCTAATGGTAATATTTTTTCTTTTTAGATCCTATACAGTGGTCTACAGACCAAGTCTTACATTGGGTAGTTTGGGTCATGAAGGAATTCAGCATGACTGATATAGACCTCAGCACACTCAACATTTCAGGACGAGAATTATGTAGTCTCAACCAAGAAGAGTTTTTCCAGCGGGTCCCTCGGGGAGAAATTCTCTGGAGTCATCTGGAGCTTCTTCGGAAATGTATGAATTGGAGTTATTACCTATTTACATCGTAACTTAGGTTTAATTTTACATTTTTACCTTTGTTATCGTAATTGCTTATTTTATTGATAATAGCAATAATACTTAACGTTTATTAACTGGATAAGGCTGTGGTAAGAGTTTTATATGTATTATCTTATTTAATCTCCGTATTAAGGCTGCAAATCACAGAGTGCCTATATGGTCTTATTATAAGCTTTCAAAAACCTCTCTCTGTCCATGCTGTGCCTTCGGCTTTGAGAGATCCCAGGAAAAAGATGAAACTCTTTCTGAGAATTAGGGCTTAGAGGCTAATCTGATCGGTTGGTCATGCCTGTGCTATGTAATGGTGACTCTCTCTTTTGCCTTTTCAGGCTAGGGCACCTTTGTTCATTTATAGTCACAAATAGAACAGTTTCCATTTCAGTAGCACCTTTTACCTCTTCAAGGTACTTTTATAAAATTTGGGAGTGAGGGGGAGATCTGCCACAAACATAAGGCATGGATTTTTCTTCAAGGCAGACAGCAGTTCTTGGGGAAAATACTCAAAACTAGGAATCTGGATAAAATGATAGCATCTTCAGTTTACGGAAAAATTAATTATGTTTCAGGCACTGTGTTCCTGAAAATATTTGCTTTTAATCCTCAGGACAACCTCATGAGGAGGTGGTAGGTTGAGGATATCTCATTTAAACATGAATTAATGTTCAAGTTAGTTGAATAACTTAACCAAAGTCACACATCCAGTAAGTGAGTGCTCAGATCAGAATCCAGATCTCTCCTAGGCTAGTTCCATGTCGTTGTTTAAACTCCCAAACTCAGGACCCCCAAAGAAAACTTCGATCTGACAGGTGGGATTCAGACTTCTTTTTAGTCCCCCAGCCCTTTCCAGCTCTGTGTGTCTGGAACTGGGTCCTGGCATGGTGCCTTAAGTAGAACTGTGTTGGGAGCCCAGGTCTCAGAACTCACTGTCAGTACACATATGATTGCTGGTGGGTACAATTCAATTTCAAGACAGAAGCTTCGGAACAATAATGGGCAGTAAATAGGCTAAAGTCATAGAGACTGGGAAGCATTCCTCTTGTTGGAGAGGTAAAGAATAGCATCTGAGTAAGGAATAGCGATAGATGAGTAACGAATGGTTCTCTAATGGGTCACGTTAGGGCCATTTACGATGCACTCTTATGTTGGGAGCTGTATTTGTAGACATGTTAAATTATCTAGTGTAGTTGTGACATTTAGGACGTTTACAGTTTTATTGAAAATGTATCTGTCTTTAAAGCATTATCAAATTAAAGCAGTGTTATTAAAAAGTGGATATTAGAACAGATTATTAAATTATGAAGATTTCTCAGATCATGTTGAGGGAGCCTTTTTGAAGAGTATATATAAATAATTTCAGTGTGGTATATAGTCTCTTTTCTGATCTGATAATGAAGATTTTCGTGTTTTACATGGTTTTATATAGATAGATAAATAGATTTAGATATAGATATTTACATTAGAAATTACTCTCTGAATAATGAACTCTAAAAGAAATTGAAGCTTTCTCTGCTACTTCTCTTAAAAATATCTGTTCGTTATAAAGTGATTATCAAATATTTTTTAAAGTTATCATTCCAGTAAGTTTCAATTGTTTAATGTTTTGCTTTTTTGTTTGTTTGGTTTTGCTTGTAATTGTGGACTTTCTTATAAAAGGATCAAATTTATTAAGTTCAATTTTACTGGATTGGGGTTTACATTCTGGTTTTAAATGAAAACAAATTATGTGTGTTCTTCAGATGTATTGGCAAGCCAGGAACAACAGATGAACGAGATAGTTACTATTGATCAACGTGAGTATTCATGCCCATAATATACGGCCCATTTGTCAATAAGAGATGTTTCCGTTATTCAGTACTGTGAGGTAGTAAAAAAAAAGAACAAACTAAATATTTATGAAGTATTTTAGATATACAAAGAAAAAATAAACGATAACCACCATCTACATACCATAACACCATACCTATTAAAAACTAAATCTTTATATGTAAAATCTAAACTTTACCAGTTGTAGATCCCATTTTAAATGACTATCCTGAAGTGGATGTTTATCGTTCTATGTAGATTTTTACCAGTTATGTAACCATAAATACTTTATAGCATTGTTTTGCACATTTAAACTTTTTGGGTAAAGGTATGAGACTTAGCCATGTTGATACTTACTGCTCAATTTTATTCATTTTCACTGCTGTATATTCAACTTTGTCAACATCACTGAATAAGCATTTGTCAGAATATACATGAGATTCTCTGATTGTAATATCAAGTTTCTATCTTTTCAAACTTACTAGGTATTACCAGTTTTTTCCTCAAAGTGGTGGTATAAGTTTATACTCTCATCAGTAGTGGAATGTGAGTCCTCATTTGTCCACATTTTCTCCAGCATCTGATAAACCATTTTTTTTTTAAATCATTTTTTTTTTAATATTTTATTGATTTTTTACAGAGAGGAAGGGAGAGGGATAGAGAGTTAGAAACATCGATGAGAGAGAAACATCGATCAGCTGCCTCCTGCACATCCCAAACTGGGGATGTGCCCGCAACCAAGGTACATGCCCTTGACCGGAATTGGACCTGGGACCTTTCAGTCCGCAGTCCGATGCTCTATCCACTGAGCCAAACCGGTTAGGGCGATAAACCATTTTTAATGAACAAATATTTTAAGACTGTATATACATCACTAAGTTATTTAAAAAATAAGACCAACTCTTACTAAGTTGAGATTCATGAACCGTAATGCAAACAAACATCATACCTTATCCTTGGAACTTTTTTTGTAATTTTGTTTAAAACTTATGGATTAAAGCTTTTTGAAATGAGGCCTTTTGTTGATGTAATTAGAGGGGCATTCGTTAAACTTAATTGCATTTTATGTCTTTCAGTAGTTTTTTTCCTGCTTGTATTAGAAGTGGAAACAGGTTTTTCCCTTGTCTTTATTTGCAGCTGTCCAAATTATTCCAGCATCAGTTCAGTCTGCAACACCAACTACCATTAAAGGTATAAACAGCAGTGCAAAGGCAGCTAAAGTACAAAGAGCTCCAAGGATTTCAGGAGAAGATAGAAGTTCACCTGGGAACAGAACAGGTATTTTTGCATTCTTATCTGGTATTTATAATATTTATCAAATTATGTATATTTTGTTTTATTTCACTATTAGAGGCCCGGTGCACGGATTTGTGCACCCATGGGGTCCCTCAGCCTGGCCTGCAGGGATCGGGTAGAAACCAGCTCTCTGACATCTCTCAGGGGGCCCCGGATTGCAAGAGGGCACAGGCCAGGCCGAGGGACCCCTCTAGTGCATGATTGGGGCAGGGGAGGGACCGTGGAAGGGCTCCAGGGCGATCGGCTGGACCCCAGCAGCAAGCTAACCTACCTGTCGGAGCTTCTGCCCCCTGGTGGTCAGTGCATAGCATAGTGACTGATCAAACGGATGGTCAGACACTTAGCATATTACGCTTTTATTATATAGGATGTGAAAATCTGAGTATGGCCTATTTCTCTGGCAGTGCTTAGACAGTTTTTGGAAAAAACTGTGCTTTTAGCATGGTTGAGCTAAAAACCAGAGAGCCTGTTTGTTGCCTTTTGCCCTCTTTTAATTCATAGCACTTTGGTCAATGCTTGTCCCTGTCAATTTAGGAAACAATGGCCAGATTCAACTGTGGCAGTTTTTGCTAGAACTTCTTACTGACAAGGATGCTCGAGACTGCATTTCTTGGGTTGGTGATGAAGGCGAGTTTAAACTAAATCAGCCTGAACTGGTTGCACAAAAATGGGGACAACGTAAAAATAAACCTACAATGAACTATGAGAAACTCAGTCGTGCATTAAGGTAAGATTTATTACTTTTTAAATATCAAGCTTTTCTAAAAAATGGCTCCTTCCTCTAGGTGTGAACACTGTGATGTAATGGTGTTAAAATCCTTGACTTGTTCACAAGATGTTTTATATATATGCTAAAATTTTTCATACTTACGTTAAAAATGGCTTCTTTATTTTTTTATTTATTTATTTTTATTGCTTAAAGTATTACAAAGGGTATTACATATGTGTCCTTTTTTTCCCCCCGCCCTTGACAATCCCCTGGCCTCCCCTACTCCCCAGTGTCTTATGTCCATTGGTTATGCTTATATGCATGCATACAAGTCTTTCGGTTGATCTCTTACCCACCTCCCTCCTACCCCCCCAACCCTCCCTGGCCTTCCCGCTGCAGTTTGACAATCTGTTTGAGGCAGCTCTGCTTCTGTATCTATTATTGTTCAAAAGTTTATAATGGTCTCTATTATCCATGAATGAGTGAGATCATGTGGTATTTTAAAAATGGCTTCTTAAAAAGATTTTTAGTAATAATTTTGAGGTACATAAAAGTTTTTTTTATAGATTATTCTAAGGTTATTTGCTTTTGTTTATCAGGGAATGCCTTGATTTCTTCTTTATATCTGAAGGTTAACTGTTAAATAGATTATTCTTGGCTGGCAGTTCTTACCTTTCAATATTTTGAGTGTCATTCCACTCCAGGCCTGTCCCGTAATCTGCTGATAGCCTGATGGGGAAAAGTTATTTGTTTTTATCTGATTTAAAAGCATATACTACTCTGTTTAAAACCAACATATTTAATCTTTGAGGTTTCTATTATTTACATAACAGATAAAGATGCTGTCATTTGCATAGGTGCATTGAGTGTAAACTTGAGCAAATATGCAAAATGTTGTCTTTTTATAATTGGATGCAAAATGGTGGCCTGTTTTCCTGTTTTTTTCTCCCCCTACAATCTGCCTAAATCTGAATATCCAACCTTTACATTGATAGAATTGAAATGGAATAAAATTACTTATAATTTCCCCTAAGTAGTATAAAATTTTTTTGATGTAATTGCTATAAGAAATTATATTTGTTACAATGATGGAAATTCAGTGTGTGTTTTTAAGTATCTGGGAAGTAGTATATATAGGAATATCATAGAATTCTTTTATGATATTATTTTTTAAAAAATATTTTTAAAAAAATTATTTTTGAAGAGTGAATGTAGTAAAGTAGTTCTGCAATTTACTTCTGTATTTCTAAATATCATTTATGTTGCTACTTCACATTTCCCTTGGATATTGTGTATGAGTTTCATAGTGAGAGATTATGATCATGATGCCTGTATTTGTCAACAGTAGAGTGAATAAATAAATTATGGTATACAAGAGAATATACTGTGTACCCATGAAAATGAACTGTTGTTGCTACAAGCACTGGTACTAAACCTCGTAATACAATCTTCAGTGAAAGAATTCAGACCCCCCCCCCCCCCCCCAAAATCCAGACCCGTTCATATCCTATATGAATGCATTTAGATAGTAAAGTGCAAAAAGCAGAAAAACTAACAGCATTTAGGATGCATTTTTGGCCCAGTCGGCATGGCTCAATGTTTAAATGTCGACCTGTGAACCAGGATCATGGTTCGATTCCCAATCACATTTTTGAGTGGTAAGACTATAAATAAAAGCACTGAGATTACTATCATGAAACAGGATTGTGTTTACCTTTGGGGTGGGGGAAGTGATGATTGGGAGGAGCCATGGAGGGGATTCTGGGGTGCTGGCAGTGTTGTTTCCTGACCTGAGTCATATTTAACAGGTGAAAGTGCAATTTGTAATCACTGAGTTCACTTTTTTGTCCTTTTTGTTTGTGTAGTATATTTCACAATTTAAAAGGTTAAAAAAGTATTTTTTTTTTTTAAAGAGGGAGGAAATAAATCATGACCATGAAAATTCAGGTACTATGTACCTTTCAACTTTCCTCATTTTAGAGAGGGGACAAATGCAATGAATTGGTGGTGGTTGTGTAATTTATCTACTAGATTGAAGGAAGTATTAAGTAAAATTAAAACTTATGTGTATAAATTTTTTATCACCTCTTGCCAAGAAACTTAAGACTATACCAACTTAATTTTTCTCTTTGAAATATAAAACCACTTCCCTTCTTCATTTTCCTTTTTTCTATGGTGTCTGCTTGTACGGCCTTACATATTATGTAGAAACTAGAGGCCCAGTGCACAAAATTCGTACACTGGTAGGGTCCCTAGCGGCTGCCAACTGCCAGCTGGGTACTCCCTCCCTTCCCCCGGCCGGCCCCATCCCCTGGTTGAACTTTCGGATGACCTCCTGGTCGAGGGGACAATTTGCATACTATGCTTTTATTATATAGGATTTCCTTAAGAAATTGAAATGCCAGTAGCATTTTAAACTGGATGCCAAGGATTTGGTGGTTTGTAGACTGAGATCTAAATTATGTATTAACGTAATTGACACAAAAGGGAAAACAAGATTATAGCCAATGTTATATATCTTACTGGGAGGAAGTGAACATGACTATTCTGTTTTTGCTTTTCTGCATTTAGGGAAAGATGACATGATTTCCTGTGTTTAGGTCAGTCATTTCATTAATGCACTCAATTAAATGGAGTGACTTTTATAATAAAATCCTGCTAAATATGGTAGTTTATACCATTGGTACTTTTTCAAACGTTCCTTTTGTAATAAGTTACTAACAACTTTTGTCAAATGGGTGCAAATAGGCAGTGCAATTTTAACACAAAGGCTTCACAGTCTGCCGGCCCAGAAGTATTCACTTAGGAAGCCCCCCTCCCCCCCTTTATTGGAGTTGGAATTGGCAGGGCATAGTGGTAAATAAAGTCTGTTTTCCGAGTTAGATATAAATTCTGTCCTATTTCCATCTCCATAGAAAGCAGCAATAAACTAGACTTCTAGAGCAGTGGTTTTCAACCAGTGTGCCGCAAGAATTTTTATGCTATACCTATTTAGTCAGGGCACTGGCCTCTTTTCCCTTAGATTGTCAAATAAAAAATGACAACAGCCAACACAATAGCCGTTTGGTGTGACTGAATCAAAATTAGAACTTTTTTTTGTCAGAATGGTAAAACATACTTTTTGGTGTGCCTCAGAATTTTAGTAATTTATGTGTTCCATGAGATGAAAAGGATTGAAAATCACTGTTCTGGAGTGATTTCCCCAAGGCTTAGAAGCCTTGTTTCTTAATGATGTACTTCCCGTTTTTCTGTGTTGTTTCTTCTACCCTGTTTACTTATACTTTTTTTTTTTTTTTTTTATTCTTTTGAGGTTCCCTATTGGGTTTGGTGAATTTCTCAGAAAGGAAAGTCTTTACATATTAACTGAAGGCATGGTTACACAATATAGGGTTTTGTACAAGACAGAAAAGAAGTGTGGACCATTCCAGCAATCCATAGGATATATTAAAAATTTCTTTGCATTATATGGATTCTTAATTGTTAACATAGCTTATATTTTATAGAGGATTATGTGCTAGTTATTGTATGCTTAGGCACTTTGCAAAGGTAATCCTTTTAATCCTCAACAGTTCTATGAGGGTAAGTACTGTTAAATCTTATTTTATAGAAGTGGAATAAAAGCTTAGAGAAAATGTGGCTTTCTTCTGGTCACAAAGGAAATTATAAGTAAAGATGCTAGATTTCAAATCTCAGCATTCTGGTTCTAAGCCCCTGTCCATAGGTTCTGTTACTGCTCCCAAAGTTTTTTGTTTTATTTAAAAATATTTCCTTTAAATCAGTGTTTTATCCTAATTGTGGAAAACATGCTTTGAAAATGTAGTATGTAAAGTTTTGGAGTGCTGAGCATTGAAATTTTAGTAAGTAATGTTTTGAAGTTTCCTTGCATAGTAACATTTAATATTTCTATATGACTTCCTGTTAACTTCTGTTATGATAGATGCAGTATTCTCTTAGTCTTTTGCGTATGGAAGAGTATGAAATACTGTGCGAAGCCCAAACTCTCTTTTTTATATAGTACTGATGTGTTTTTCTCTTTTTAAAGGTATTATTATGATGGAGACATGATTTGTAAAGTTCAGGGCAAGAGATTTGTGTACAAGTTTGTCTGTGACTTGAAGACTCTTATTGGATACAGTGCAGCAGAGTTGAACCGTTTGGTCACAGAGTGTGAACAGAAGAAACTTGCAAAGATGCAGCTCCATGGAATCGCCCAGCCTGTCACAGCAGTCGCCCTGGCTGCAGCTTCTCTGCAAGCAGAAAAGGATAACTGAGCCCAGGATCTGCTGGGATTTCAAGGTCTTTCTTAACTCTGAGAGCACGCATTGCTCTCACCTTTATTACTGAATTTGAATCTTCCTTTATTTCTAAACTGTACAGTCTAATGCATGATTTTTTTTATAAATATTTCATACTCTTGTGAATTTGGATCTTTTTACTTTGAGCATATATTTTAGAATATAAGTATGTTACAGGATCACCACAATGGCTTCAGTATGAAGGCAGGTTCATTGTGGGTAGTTTGTTAACAGTCAGGAAAGCTAAACTGGTCAGTATTAATGTCTAGCCCTACCAAAAATAGCCAGCAGCATCTGAGGATGAAAAATAAATGAAGTATCTTCAGGAAACAGTCTGGCTTAACTATTTTTGAAAGTATAACTGTTTACCCTCTCTGCTGCTTTAGATGTTACTTTACATAAAACCAGAAAATGGGACTTTAACAGCTAAAGCATGTGTGCCTGTTTCATCTAATCAGGCAGAGCTAAAATAGTCATATCAAATAAAAGTATAATATTAATAAATTACTAAACTAATAGTATCAAGTTATTAAAGTAATTTATATATTTGCAAGCAAAGGACAAAGAAGTCAACTGGCAGAAGAGCAGTGCTGAAGAGGGAGACCCAGGTTTAAATCTGGCTCAGGTTTCTGTATAGATTCACAATGTTAGGTCAAGAATTTAAATTCTAAGAGAGGCATTGAATCTAATAAACCAACTATTACAAAAATTTTGAAATGATCTCTGTTTTTCCTGTCAGAGATCTAAAAAACCGAGAAGGTATACCTCAGCCAGAAAATTGGTTTGGCTTCTCTCTCTCTCTCTCTCTCTCTCTCTCTCTCTCTCTCTCTCTCTCTCTCTCTCTCTCTTTAATTACCCTTTCATGCTGGTTTATTATGCAAAACAGTTTACTTACATGGTCATTGTGTTTCTGATGAAATGAAGACTTTAAATCAGTCATCAGTACTTCACCTTTCAAGATATTAGGAAATTATTTGCAAATAGTTTAAAAAGAAAATTTTACCTCCAGTACAGGCAGTTTTCTCTTAAAGCAAAATTGTCCATTTATTTAATTTTCTCCTTTTGAATATTTATATATCTGAGTACACAGATATCTGTATACATGTCCACTTTACCATTTCCTATAAATACAGGTATACACATATATGAAGACATAATATTCAGAAGGAAAGATATTTCAGAAGGTAATAACTCACTTTTTTAATCTTAAAAAATTAATTAATTCTTTTATATATGAAACTCTTTGCTTACCACAAGCTAACACTAAGCAGAAGTGGCTAGAAATATGTATCTTTTTTGTTTGTTTGCTTGCTCGCTCTCCTTGCTATCTTTTGTTTTGTTGTTTGTTTTAAGGTATTATGTACAAATCCTGATGTGAGATACTGGCAAATAACTTCTAATCCTCTTATAGCAGAAGATTTATTCTCAAATATTACTTTATGCACATTCTCCCTCATCATTTACTTTAAATTCATTCCTCTAAACAGGTTTATAAGGGTTGGTTAATGCTTTTGACTAACCAGGAGGAAAGGGCCATGGTAAGATAGGCAACGTGGCATTGCTAGCAGTTGCTGCCATCAATATACTAAATAGCATTTGGAATGAACCGCAGGAGACAGGGCTCTTAGGAGCAAGGAGAGGAGAGGTCTATGATCTCCTTGTCTGATAACCTCAAATCATAATTTTAAGTGCTGTGCTTTAGGGCTACAAAGTATAATGTCGGTCCATTTATATGACTGTATTAAGTCCTTTAAGACTCTGCAGTACACACCTAAAAAAGAATAAAGTTTGTAACATCCCACTGTTACCATTTTATAAACACACACAAAATAGACTGACAAATTATTAATATATATTGGGTGCAGTGGTTGCAAGAATATCTGAGTAGACTAGCAATAAGAAATAATAACAAAAGCTCTACTTTCAGATAACCAATAGCTAAAAATAAGGTTTCATATCATCCACTTATGGCCTAGGGTCATGGTTGGCAAACTACGGCTCTTTGGCCCCTTGAGTGTGGCTCTTCCTAAGCCTTAGGAGTACCCTAATTAAGTTAATAACAGTGTACCTACCTATGTAGTTTAAGTTTAAAAAATTTGGCTCTCAAAAGAAATTTCAATCATTGTACTGTTGATATTTGGCTCTGTTGACTAATGAGTTTGCCAACCACTAACCTAGGGAATTGACAAATCACTTATAGTTCTAAAAAAATTACACTATTCTGATATATTTTCAAGAGCTTAAAATACTTGACTTTTGAAATGCTTTTAAGGTGACATTATGTTAACCTTTTAGCCAGGATGGCAGACTTCCTTTATATCTCAGTTATAGGTGTGTGTGTATACATTTTTTTATTTTTTTTAAAGCAAGGAACACTCACATTTCTTTGAGAGCCCAAAGTCAAATTATTATTTCTTCTGTAGCATTTCTCAGATGCTTAAAAACAATAACAGATTCTCCATTTTTTTCTCTAAGTTTTTATTGCTCATTATAATTTGAACAGAGACATTTCTCATACATGATCACACCCTTTTCTTTTTTCTCCGTTGCCTCTTATCATTTTATGCACCATAACATAGGTAGTTCCCCCATTTGATTCAAGAAATTTCTGTTACTTTGTGTCAGGTTACGGTAAACGATTTTCACTGTCCTTATTGAGGTTACAGTTATCAGAAAGTCAGGTAGTCTTTTCCCATATTGAAAGATTATGCAAGAAAATATAATTCACACTATTCATTCTTCGTTATGTTTTTATGTATGAATTTTTCATAGGAGAATTTACAAAATATTTAAAGGAAGAAAGATAAAATTATTGGTCATCTTTTATACCTTAAGTACAAGAATAATGAAATGTTCACTTTCGTTTTAAAACTTGTTTTCCACATGAGGTTCTCACTGAGCCACCTTTATAGGTATAGAACTAGCCTGAAGTTTAGAGATTTGTGTTGGCTTCAGAAAATCAAATTAGGCAGAATTGCTCTGTGTGGTTGATCTTCACATGAATCAACTAATTATATTCATTTTGTATCAGTCTATGTCAGTTAATTAGGAAAATTTGTTTAGTTGTTTTTCTCCCCTGATGAATGGTGAAACTCAAGTATGATATTTCTTTAAAGATTTGTACCTCCAGATATTTGCAGCAAGGTCTGCTATTTTCCATATTCATCATTTTATGCTACTGCCTTTAAAAAAGAACTAGTGTATCTTTGAAATAGCACAAAAATGTTTTTAAATTCATAATTGCAAAACAACCTGTGACTGACTAAATGTCTTCATATCTAGGAAGTATAAAAATATTGATATTTAGTGATATTTCACTTGTTGCCAGAAAAAAAAATTCTCAATTTTTTGTAAAAGGGAGGAGGATTTTTGCATACATTTTTACTCTTTAAATAAAGACACTTATGCTGTCATAATAACAATTATGTATTTCTTTGTGGTTTTTATTTTTTTTGTAATTTTACATAAAACAGTTATTTTCTATTTTTACTCAGATAAAAATATTTGTGCATAAAATGTAAAAATAGTAAAATGAGAAAAATAAAACTATTATACATTATATTTCTGTGTTAGAAGTTTTATTCCTGCAAACAGTCTCAAGTTATAGGGATATTTGGTTGGATGAAAATATGACAGTTCACACCTGATGTATATATCATTCCCACATACTTTAAAACCCTCAATTTGTGAAGAACAGATGTCATGAACTAAAATTGAGTGATAGAGTTTAGTCTTTAAAATGAATTAATGAATGCATGCATGCATGAATGAATGAAACCCCATCCACAAAGCCAAACCGTTGTAGAGTAACTGAAGAAATGTTAAGACTGAGTGTGTCAAAAGACAAGCCAATGATTATTAAACTAGAAATTCTTAGTGAAGTCTATTTCTTTTTTTTTTTATTAAAAAAAAATCACTTATCCATGTTGGCTGAGTGACAGCAGGATGCTTCAGCCAGGACTGAAGTGTAGAGGAATCAAAGAGGACAGGAGCAAATGGCTTGTGCTCTTGATTACGGTCAAGCAGTCGTCAAGACTTTGGCATACCTGAAAAAGAAATCAGTCTGAGTGAAATAAGTTGCTTTAAAAACACAGTCTAATTTTACCTGGTTTGAAGTGATGTATATTTGTTCTCCCCAAACACTGATAATATATATATAAATATATATATTTTTGGTGGGACTTTAAACCTGAATTTGTAAGTCAAGAACATGTTTAAAATGCTTTCTTTTACCAAAGAACTTGTATGCATAACCCATAAACACAGACAATAGTGTGATGAAGACCTGGGCAGGGGGGTGGGGTGGGCTATAAGGGGTCAAAGGGAAAAAGGGGACATATGTAATATTTTCAACAATAAAGATTTAAAATAAAAAGATGTTTTCTTTTTATTACTAGTAAGCTGCCTGACTTAGAATATGGCATATAAAACTTTCTGAGGTGAAGGACAACCTTTTTATTTCCAAATGGTCACAGACTGAAATTTTCGTAAAAAAAAAAAAAAAATGAGCCCTAACTGGGTTGGCTCAGTGGACAGAGTGTCGGTCTGCGGACTGAAGAGTCCTGGGTTCAATTCTGGTCAAGGGCACCTGCTCCGGTTGCGGGCTCAATCCCTACCTAGTAGGGCTCTGCAGGAGGCAGCTGATCAATGATTCTCTCTCATCATTGATGTTTCTATCTATTCCTCTGTCCTCCTCTCTGAAGTCAATAAAAATATATATTTAAAAAAAATTGAATTAAAAGGGGCAGAAGGAAATGGGGAATTGTTTAATGGATACAGAGTTTCAATTATGGAAGATGAAAAAGTTGTGGAGATTGGTTGCACAGTAATAAATGTACTTAATGATACTAATGGGTAGATACACATAAGCATGGCTAAATTGGTAATTGTATGTTATGTGTATTTTACCACAAATTTGTTTTTAAATATGAATCACTAGAATTTAAAAAAAAATGTAATTCACCAAATTAACAACATGGGGTGGGGAGACATGGTCATTCATCTGAATAGGTGCAGAAAATGTGTAAAATAAAATTCAGTATCCATTTATGATAAAAACTGAGCAAACCAGAATTAGAAGGGACCTTGACAGGGAGTATCTGAAAAACCTACAGTTAACATTGTACATAATGGTTTGTTTTTCTCCTAAGATTTGGTGAAGGCAACAAGATATCTATTTAATACTGTACTGAAGATCCAACCTATGAAATAAGTAGAAAAAGTATGCATACTGTAAGAAATTAAACTCTTTGCAGGAGACAGACATTGAAAATCCTAAAAAATAGATAAACTACTAGAATTGATAAGTGAGTAAGGTAAGGTCCATGGTCAATAGACACAATTCAGTTTTATTTCTACATGCTAGCAACATATAATTGGTAATTGAAATGTAAAAGCTATCACAGTAGAATTAGAAAACATGAAATACTTAGGGACAAACAAAATTTGTACAAGACTTGTACAATAAAAACCACAGAAATTGGTAAGAAATGAAAGAAAATCTAAGTGGATGGAGATATCCCATAATTGCAAATTGGAAGACTCACTTTTATAAATGTTAATTATCCCTAAGTTGATGTATAAATAATGGAATTCAAGCAAAAATTCTGGCAGTCTTTCTTGTAAACAAAATTTATGTGTCAAATTTATGTGTAAATTCAAGTGACCCAGAATAGCCAAAACAATTTGGAAAAGAAAAATTAGAGAATTTACACTATATAAAGCTTTGCTATTTAAAGCTAAAGTAACTAAGATGTGGTATTGAAATAAAGGTAGACAATTCAATAGTTTAAAGGATAGTCTTTTTTTAAAAAAAAATAAATTTCTTTATTGATTTAAGAGAGGAAGGGAGAGGGAGGAAGAGATAGAAACATCAATGATGAGAGTCACTGATTGACTGCCTTCTGCATGGCCCCCACTGGGGACCAAGCCCGCAACCCAGGCACGTGCCCTTGACCAGAATCAAACCCGGGACCCTTCATTCTGCAGGCTGACGCTCTATCCACCGCGCCAAACTGGCCAGGGCTAAAGGATAGTCTTAAATGTTAGAACAACTGGATATATTTATGGAGAAAAATGAACCTCAATCCTTAACCTCATATGACATCCTATCTAATAAAAGAGAAACATGGTAATTAGCGTATGACCGCTACCCTTCCCATTGGCTAATCAGGGCAATACGCAAATTAACGGCCAGCCAAGATGGCGGCCGGCAGCCAGGCAGCTTGAAACTAACATGAGGCTTGCTTGCTTCAGTGACAGAGGACTCCAACGTTCCCTGCCTGCCGCTGCAGGCCTCTGAGCTGCAACTCTAAGCAACTATGTAACAAATATAGAAGCTAAACAAAACCCCAGAAACCTGCTTTAGTCCGGGCTTCAGCTAGCAGGATCACAACATTGTAAGCAAAGGCCAGAAACCTACTTTCAGCAGCTGAGGCCTAAGAGCTGGAGCCAAGCCTCAAAGCTAAAGCTGGCCCAGAATAAAAAAGAAAAAAAGGAGCGGTTGGGAGCTTCAGTCACCCGCAGCCTGAAAACAGCCCTCAGCCCTCACCCAGACTGGACAGGCACCCCAGTGGGGACCCCCACCCTGAAGGGGGTGTGACCAGCTGCAAACAGCCATCATCCCCTCACCCAGGCTGGCCAGGCACCCCAGTGGGGACCCCCACCCTGAAGGGGGTGTGACCAGCTGCAAACAGCCATCATCCCCTCACCCAGGCTGGCCAGGCACCCCAGTGGGGACCCCCACCCTGATCCAGGACCCCCTTCAGGGCAAACAGCCGGTACCCACCCGTGCACCAGGCCTCTACCCTATATAGTAAAAGGGTAATATGCCTCCCAGCACCGGGATCAGCGGAGCCGCAAGGCCTCCTGGCACGGATCAGCGTGACGGGGCAGCGCCCAAACCCCCTGATCTCCCTGCGGCTCTGTGTGTGAAAGGGGCGGGGCCACAACCTCCCTATCCACCCTGCTCTGTTTGTGACAGGGGAAGGTGCCCCAACTCCGTGATCAGCCCTGCTCTGTGCCTGATAGGGGGGAGCTCCCCAACCCCCTGATCGCCCTGCGGCTCTGTGTGACAGTGCGGCGCCCCAAACCCCCCCCCCCCCCCCACGGGCCCTGCTCTGTGTGTGATGGAGTAGAGCCATAACCTCAGCATCGGTCCTGCCCTGAGTGTGAGAGTGGTGGCGCCCCAACCCCCTGATCAGCCCTGCTCTGTGGGTGATAGAGGGCGGCACCCCAACCCCCTGATTGGCCCTGCTCTGTGCGTGACAGGGGGTGGCGCCGCAACCTCCCTATCGACCCTGCCTTGAGTGTGACAGGGGACGGTGCCCCAACCCCCCAATTGGCCCTACCCTGAGCGTGACTGAGGGTGGCATCACAACCTCCCTATCCGCCCTGCTCTGTGCATGACAGGGGGCGGCGCCCCAAGTCCCCAATCGGCCCTGCTCTGAGCCCAACCAGGGGCTGCACCTGGGGATTGGGCCTGCCCTCTGCCACCCGGGAGCGGGCCTAAGCCAGCAGGTCGTTATCTCCCGAGGGGTCCCAGAGTGCTAGAGGGCACAGGCCGGGCTGAGGGACCCCCCCCCCCTGCACAAATTTTTGTGCACCGGGCCTCTAGTATAAAAATAAGATGGATAAAAAAATGGATCATCAACCTAAAAAGGAAAAACTCTAAAACTTACAGAAGTAAAACAAGAACATTTTCATGAGTGTCGGGTAGCAAAGTTTTTTTTTAGATAAGACAAAAAAGCTAAGTCCAGAGATAGCAGTAAAATACACTATAGCATTTTTAAAAACCTTTGTTTTTTGAAACTTTAAAGTGAAGCATGGTTTTGGAAAAAATACTTGCAATGCATATGTTTTGCAAAGTTCTTACTTTAAAAATACAAGAAAAAAACTCATGGACGTACACAATAGTGTAATTGTGGCAGGGGCATCGGGTGGAAGTGGAAGAGAGGGCAAATGGGAGGTAAATAGACAAAATATATATGGAACCCTTTTCTTAACAAGAAAATGCAATAACATGGCCAAAAGATTTGAACAGACACTTCCAAAAATATATAAAAATAGCCAATAAGCATATAAAAAGTTCAGCATTATTAGTCATCAGGAAATAAAATCACAATTCAGTATCACTACCCATTATAACTGCTGAAAGCTAGAAGTCTCACCACGCCAAGTGTTGGTGGCGACAAATGAACATCAGGCAAATAGTTGGTGAAAATGTAAAATAGCACACTACTTTGAAGTAGTTTAACATGTTTTCGTCACAACCTAGCAGTTCTAATCCTAGGCATTGACCTAAGAGAAATAAAACATAAATCCACTGCAAGACCTGAACACTAATACTTATAGTAGTTTTATTCGTAATGGCCCCAAATGTAAACAAATGTCTTTCAACAGGTGACTGAATGAACAGATGCAGA